TCTTTTCGGGTGATGCGGGCCTTAGACTCCCAACGGTGTAGTATAACCCTTTTGAAAAAAGAGACAGTCTAAGTCGATTCTGTATGTTTCAAGCTTTCGAATGGTATGTCGACTGATTAAACATAAAGGTTTTTTGAGTTAGAAGAAAGTCTCTGTTGGATAACCTTCCAACGCTCAAGCATTAAGGAAGTCTTTATATTACACCTTTGAACCGCTTATTTTCCTTCTTTCCAAGGTTATTCCAGGTAAACCGTAATAACTGATTTTCCAGCACTTGCCAGAAATGTGATTACACCGTCAAAAAAGCTGAAAACTGTCGTAAAAAGTTGTGTAGTGGAATCAGCGTAAACGAAAATTCTAGTACGCGATTTTTTAGATCTTTTGAAAAAAAATTCTATCAGATGGCATATTTCACAATGGATCGACATGCTAGAAGTTCATACCGTAATCCCACAGTAATGAAGAGCGATCGATGATTCGCTCCATACTACAAATCTAAGTTGAACCTGGCTCTGCAGAAAGGTGCCTCAAACTCGGCCAAAGACGTGAAAGCAACGAAGTTATTAACGATCAAACAGCGTTAACATTTTTTGGGACACCCTGTATTCGCATTCGAAATTCGATATTCGATATTAGATGAGTTTTTCCATTTTCGAATAATATTCGAAACTCGAATAATTGGGAAAATGGGTTGGTTTTGGACAAAAATTCGAAACTCGAGTAATCAAACAGGGATGCGATAAAATTCGAAAACTCGAATAATCAAAAACGGGGCTTCGAATAAATTTTATGTGAATGTTTTATTCGATTGTTTCATTCGAATTCGTAATCGAATGAACTCCGTAATCAGATTATTCGAGTTTGTTGCAGAGCCAACTGCTGGCATCAAGCTCGCTTCGTATGCGTTTTCTGCGCAAAACTCGGTAATGCACCTTTTTGCAATCGTAATGACCTTTGAGCTGTATAGAAAGTAGCATCCCTCCGAGTTTGCGACATTAAAAAAATAAGTGTGGATTTTAATTGATGCTTTTACGATCAATGGGATAGTTCGCACTGCTACACAACATCAGCAATAAAACAGCTATCAAACTCAAGCTCATGTTCCGAATTCATATATTATACTGAAAGGGTTTTGACATGCCGGTTTCTCTTCTTTTGCATTGCTCATGCTTTTGCTCAAAGGTCTACACTAGTGAGCACTCTGGTCTGTAAAACTTATGTTGCACAACTGTCTCTATTCTTTACCTTAGAGATTTCTTGCGAATTGATGTATTTGAGTAAAGGACATCGCAGCTCTAGTGGGAGATTAGACGGTTGCTGATTTTTGCAGTCATATCACCTTGCAATAAAGTTTTGTTTAGTAGATAATGGAACGTAAAATATGACGTTCTGTTGATGTTCAGACTAGTTGCCAACCGACCTATTTTATCAATTTTTGGCCGAACGCAGGCGGCATGCGAATTTTGAGCAAGCGGGCACCGGAAAAATAGTTCACTGGTTTCTTGCGGTCCGCTTGCAGGAATTTGGAATAATTTTTGCCAACATTCAGACGAACGCTCGGAGAACTATCGCGATTACCCTGTAGATAAGTTGCGGCGCAGTGGCCGCATTCTCGCGGACTTTCCGCGAGAATATGCAAAATTGTCGTGGGCCGCACGGTCCTTTGTGAAGGACCGTACTGCCCAAGGTACCTTCCGCTGAAAGAAGGTACCCCAAACTTGGGTAATAAAATTATCGATGGCTCCTCCGCCACATAGAATCTTACTTTTTTCTCGGCATACGCCCGAAACTGCGTAAGAAGAGTCCGAGCGCTTGGTGAAAGTTTGGCTAGCGCTCGCTGAAAGAAATTATTTGCCGAGCGCTTGCCAAAAATGCTGTGTTCCCCCGCTGGCAGAACACGGAAGTACCGCTCGCTGAAGGTTTGGTCATGCCCCAAAATTTTTCTGAGCGCCTGCAGAAAAGCGCGAGTTTGCGGACCGCCTGCCCCCGGCAATTATCTGAGTAGTGGGAGCAGGGTCCCTAACACTCAGACAATCGCTGGGGGCAGGCGGGCACCGGAAAAATAGATTGCTGATTTCTCGCACCCCGCTCGCGGATTTTTCGCAAAGCAATCAGGACTTTTCGGAAGACCGCTTGCCGATTCAGCGGATTTTTGAGAGACCGCCTGTTGAATTTTTTTTTCGCTCTTATCTTTTGCAGATATATTGCTGAATCTCTGAGGAATCGAGAACTCAGCAAGCGGTCTTCCGAAAAGTCCTGATTGCTTTGCAAAAAATCCGCGAGCGGGGTGCGAGAGATCAGCAATCTCTTTTTCCGGTGCCCGCCTGGCCCCGTCGATTGTCTGAGCAGGTGAAGAGGGTTTTGGTTATTTCTGACCTAGAGAAGTAAAGAGGGTTTTGATTATTTCTGACCGAGAAAAGGAGGGGGGGGGGGGGGGTAACTGGACCTGAGATGAATGCGACACAAGCTTACATGTCTAACGGGAGCGGGAGTGGAAAGAAGGAAAATAAGCGGTTCAAAGGTGTAATATAAAGACTTCCTTAATGCTTGAGCGTTGGAAGGTTATCCAACAGAGACTTTCTTCTAACTCAAAAAACCTTTATGTTTAATCAGTCGACATACCATTCGAAAGCTTGAAACATACAGAATCGACTTAGACTGTCTCTTTTTTCAAAAGGGTTATACTACACCGTTGGGAGTCTAAGGCCCGCATCACCCGAAAAGAAGCTTATCACCAGTATGGACGATAAGAACAAAGACCGTTCGTACACGGACGTCATAGTCTTTGAGACAGTGAAAAGAAAAAATATTCTGCTCGAGTTAAACGACTCGAGAAACCCCGTAGCCAACAAAAAAAGAGAAACGCCTGGAAAGAAGTGCGCAACATCGTTCTCATTCAATGCAAGAAATTGATGACGATCGAGCAAATAAAAAGAGTGTGGAGAAATCGCAAATCACACGTCAGGGATGTCCTTTTAAGGGAACGCAGGTATTGGAATAGCTCAATGGTATACCCGAATGCAATGCATGTCTTTCCTTAGATATCGGCAGGGAACAGGCGGAGGTCTGGACCTTCCACTCGAGCAGGCCATTGCAAACGCGTCAGCGTCATTCACTGAAGCTGACATGCTCATAGCCCAGTCTCTAGGCAAGGAGGCAGTAATGTCAGGAGTAGGAAGAATGGAGTCGTTTGTTGATAAGGTAAATTGATCTAAGTTGCAATGTTTATTTCACACATACTGATGTTACAGGGTGCCGACAGCGATTCAGGTTCGACACTGAGGGGGAATAGACGGAGGAGGAGGGCTGGTGGGCGGGCAAACTTCCACGATTTTGAGGAAGACGGTGGACGGGAGAGGAGGGAAACACCAGTACGTAATGAATGCACATCGCTCCAGAAGGTATGATGTATTGTTGTCGCTTATAGCCACATAACCTGTGATTTTTCAGGAAGGGGCGCGGTTCGGAGGGGATTCCGATTCCTCGGAATCCACACTGGGAGGGAATAGACGGAGGAGGAGGGCTGGCGGGCGGGCAAACTTGGATGATGTGGAGCAGGACGGTGGGCGGGAGAGGGGGGCCAGCGTTTCGGATTCAATATTCTCGCGGAAGTGGCTAGCACCCCACCTCTCATCGACAAAGACGAGCTGAAACGCATTCAACGGAAACGAATAATCAAGCGGCTTCAAGATGTGTGCAATCTGCATTTTGCCTGTCAACTTCATCCAGTTTTCTCTATTTTAGTTCGACTCATGCTCCTCCTCTAGTAGCGAACGCATTAAGAGGCGCCGCACATCTACCAAGGCAGTGAATGAGCTGCAGCTCACTGTCCTCAAAGGCAGTGTCCGGGTTAGGTGGGGGGGGGGGGGTTATGGGATTTCACTGCCGCGCAGAAGTAGCCCCCCTTGACATGTCCCGCAGCCCGATCGCGGGCGCATTTCGTCGATTCGGAAGCGAGAAAATCGCTCCGGAAGTGGGGAGAGTGACGCCACGATTGGAGGACCCCGCCCATCGAGGGATTTCCCCTCCAACCATGCATCCGTTGCGGTTTTGAGTGTGCGGCGCTGACCGTAGGCTGGCAGCTCGTTGGAAAAAACCATTCTACGCTTTTTTTGCTAAGTTCTTGTGTTTACTTGTCTTTTTCTGACTGTTTCGCTTATCAAATTCCAGGGAAAGGGGTCAAGAACAAAATATAATGTATATCTGTCACTTGTTGGAGTATTTTATCCTTTCTTTGTCAGTTGATATTTCATTTATATCGTTATCACCTTTGCTTTTGTAAAATCCTTGACTCATTTGGAGCATTTCATGTTTTTGGTAATTACCTTCCTCGTTATCATTCTGTAACTTTGTGTGAAGAATTCATTGCAATGTTCCAGTGGTGAAATTGGTCGCACTAGTCGCAACGCAGGAAGAGAAGGCGAAAGAAGACAAATGGTGACATTGACACATGAAAATCATGCTGCAACGGAGAATACGATCCATACTGGATTGGAGAGAATTGTTGAAGGATGCCGATTTATTGTGCGGATGACCACACAGGATGAATACAGTGTGCTATTATTTTGTAATGAAAAGTAGCTAACCTCGAGTCATTCGTAACTTAATGTCTATATTTGCGCTTAGTTCAGAAATGCTTGAAAACGCTCATGTGCACACTTGGCGCAGTCAAAAGTTACCTGATATTGACTTCAATTTATAAACACGTACGTATCAATGTTCAAATTGAAATGCTTCCAGCCCGATCAACCCAAATAAAAACCGCATGTGTGCACATCAAAAGCTCAAAACATTTCTGCTAATGTCACCCTCTTCAGAGAAGCCTTCCACAACATGCGTATTGTAATAGTAAGTATCAGTAAGTACGCACACATTCGGCAAATCAATACAAGACCAAAACAAAAGATCAAAAGCATTCAATGACGAACCTCCAATCTGTGCCATCCCGTCCTGACTATCCTCATCCATAGCGGCTGCCTTTGTTTTTCGCATTGCCGCGCTTTCCTTGCTCATTTCACGTTCTGGTGATGCTGATGCCGATGTGCTAAAAAACGCACCTATAGACTCAATACTAGCACAGAAAAAACCAACCTTTCCACTGCTTGCACAATTAATCCTTCCTTTCCCTTCTGTGGCATACGCAAGGAGTCAAGATGATTTTCAGGGCCAACCCATTCATCGAGTCTAAGATCAGATGATTAAGTTATTCTAAGATCCACTGTTACATAGACCAATTTCAGAAAGACAGATTGGATAGAATATGAAGAAAAGAAAGAACTATCCTACCTTCTGTTGCAATCAATGTAGTGCACATAGAAGCGATATGGATCACAGCGAACCAGCATCACCTCTAAAAGCAATATTCTTATGTCCGTATCTGGATTTCACTTCACTCAAATGACTGCTCCACAACCTAACCATAAAACACCATTAACTGTACTGCACTAATTATATCGTAGAGTCATTCGTAACTTAATATGCGTAGTGCACATTAAACACGTTAACTGACGAACAGCAAAACTAAAGCCTGCTCATTTTTAGTGATTTCTGCGTCTTTCCTTGTCTCTCTTGTTTTTGTTGGTTACATGTTAGTCAATAAAACTTATTTCTACACTTTGCTGGGCTAAAAAATGTTTCACTGGAAAGTTACCAGTACGAGTGCCGTCGTTAACAGGGCTTAGTGTGCAATCTCACACATTAAGCTACGAATGACTCGAGGTTAGCTACTTTTCATTACAAAATAATAACACACTGTATTCATCCTGTGTGGTCATCTTCACAATAAATCGGCATCCTTCAACAATTCTCTCCAATCCAGTATGGATCGTATTCTCCGTTGCAGCATGATTTTCATGTGTCAATGTCACCATTTGTCTTCTTTCGCCTTCTCTTCCTGCGTTGCGACTAGTGCGACCAATTTCACCACTGGAACATTGCAATGAATTCTTCACACAAAGTTACAGAATGATAACGAGGAAGGTAATTACCAAAAACATGAAATGCTCCAAATGAGTCAAGGATTTTACAAAAGCAAAGGTGATAACGATATAAATGAAATATCAACTGACAAAGAAAGGATAAAATACTCCAACAAGTGACAGATATACATTATATTTTGTTCTTGACCCCTTTCCCTGGAATTTGATAAGCGAAACAGTCAGAAAAAGACAAGTAAACACAAGAACTTAGCAAAAAAAGCGTAGAATGGTTTTTTCCAACGAGCTGCCAGCCTACGGTCAGCGCCGCACACTCAAAACCGCAACGGATGCATGGTTGGAGGGGAAATCCCTCGATGGGCGGGGTCCTCCAATCGTGGCGTCACTCTCCCCACTTCCGGAGCGATTTTCTCGCTTCCGAATCGACGAAATGCGCCCGCGATCGGGCTGCGGGACATGTCAAGGGGGCTACTTCTGCGCGGCAGTGAAATCCCATAACCCCCCCCCCCCCCCCACCTAACCCGGACACTGCCTTTGAGGACAGTGAGCTGCAGCTCATTCACTGCCTTGGTAGATGTGCGGCGCCTCTTAATGCGTTCGCTACTAGAGGAGGAGCATGAGTCGAACTAAAATAGAGAAAACTGGATGGAGTTGACAGGCAAAATGCAGATTGCACACATCTTGAAGCCGCTTGATTATTCGTTTCCGTTGAATGCGTTTCAGCTCGTCTTTGTCGATGAGAGGTGGGGTGCTAGCCACTTCCGCGAGAATATTGAGTCCGAAACGCTGGCCCTCCTCTCCCGCCCACCGTCCTGCTCCACATCATCCAAGTTTGCCCGCCCGCCAGCCCTCCTCCTCCGTCTATTCCCTCCCAGTGTGGATTCCGAGGAATCGGAATCCCCTCCGAACCGCGCCCCTTCCTGAAAAATCACAGGTTATGTGGCTATAAGCGACAACAATACATCATACCTTCTGGAGCGATGTGCATTCATTACGTACTGGTGTTTCCCTTCTCTCCCGTCCACCGTCTTCCTCAAAATCGTGGAAGTTTGCCCGCCCACCAGCCCTCCTCCTCCGTCTATTTCCCCTCAGTGTCGAACCTGAATCGCTGTCGGCACCCTGTAACATCAGTATGTGTGAAATAAACATTGCAACTTAGATCAATTTACCTTATCAACAAACGACTCCATTCTTCCTACTCCTGACATTACTGCCTCCTTGCCTAGAGACTGGGCTATGAGCATGTCAGCTTCAGTGAATGACGCTGACGCGTTTGCAATAGCCTGCTCGAGTGGAAGGTCCAGACCTCCGCCTGTTCCCTGCCGATATCTAAGGAAAGACATGCATTGCATTCGGGTATACCATTGAGCTATTCCAATACCTGCGTTCCCTTAAAAGGACATCCCTGACGTGTGATTTGCGATTTCTCCACACTCTTTTTATTTGCTCGATCGTCATCAATTTCTTGCATTGAATGAGAACGATGTCTTCTTTCCAGGCGTTTCTCTTTTTTTTTGTTGGCTACGGGGTTTCTCGAGTCGTTTAACTCGAGCAGAATATTTTTTCTTTTCACTGTCTCAAAGACTATGACGTCCGTGTACGAACGGTCTTTGTTCTTATCGTCCATACTGGTGATAAGCTTCTTTTCGGGTGATGCGGGCCTTGACTCCCAACGGTGTAGTATAACCCTTTTATGTCTGCGCAAAGATATAAATAAGTATACAGCTACATGTGATGGCGAGTAAGACTTACCGACAAGTTTTTCAAAACGACCTCTTGTAAAGGGAACGGGATTGACACGATTATTGATAATTCGGGTCTAAACATGCTAGCATGTTCAGTCTAAGGGTGCGCAAGCTTGAAAATCGGGAAATGACAGCAGTAGTCGATGATTTTTCATAAACCATAACAAAACGGGAACACAAGTGATTACTGGTTCAGAATAATCATTTTTTGCACAATTTTGAATCAGAACAGTATCTACAAAAAAATATTAGGTTTTAGAGAGTGGCAACGGCGAAATATGATTACTAAGCTTCTCTGCGGAGTTGAGAGGAGAGTATATTGCAACAGTGAAGTGAAGGCTTTCAAGGCGATGTGAAACTGTGATCGGATCGAAAACACAGCCTAGAAATGAAAAACATCTTCATACATTAGAAAAAGGGAAACAGTAATTACTTGTGAGATGGCTGTAATGAAGTTCGTGTAGACCTGAGGCTCGTACGTTCCCGTACGAATTCCCTCTGAAAAATCAAAAGAAGTCATATTCAAATGAGTAATGTTTATTTGCGAAACTTTGCAAGCAGTGCCATGCTACCTAGATGCTCTGAATGCGCGCGTGATTGAAGAGAACTTGGGGAGAAAAACAGGAAGAAAAATAGAAGCTTGCAACAGTGGAGTGGTGGACTCTTGTTGAGAGTGAGGAAATGGAACATAAAAAAGGACGAAAATTCTATAAGAAAAACTCACTATCCCGAGAAGCAATGTAACTTGTGCTGTTGTCCCTGTAAAGCAATTGGTGCAATTTGACGCTACCGAACGCTGAGGGAACTCTGATTACGTAGTTAGAAGCCGTTTTGTGGATCGCGGTCACGTGCTCCCACAGACAGGAGATTACGCGCTCATATCCAGAATGGATCTGAATCATGAGTGACTCAAGATAATAGCAGTTATAGTATGTGTGCCCAATAGCTATATATTTCGCAATATAGACTGCTATGGAATGACTGAACTTCAGAATCCAAAGCTGTTCAACAACCCTGTTATAGTTCACATAAATCTTGTTTGAAACACTGACAAACACTGAAACTGACATATAACACTTCTGCAGAGCCTACTACAAATACAATAAATGCGTGAGATACAAACGCAAAACTTTCCTTTGTAGAAGAAAAAGGGGAAAGGGGGACTCTACTGAATGACCTAAATAGGTTACAATTGGGCGAGAGCACAATTGATCATTGATTTCTGGCATTGGTTCCAGGGTCTGAAGATCACGAGCAGTGCTTTTGGGTCCCATTCGGCCGCGAGGATTGCGAGCCATACAATAGATCCTCTGATAGAACGGTTGGGCAGGAGCACAATGTTCGTACGAACTGACGATCTGCGCTTCTTGCAGGTCAACAGCGACAACATACAACAGCAGTGCATCCGCACAGCTGTTGTCGCAACCTAGAATAGAAAATTCTAAAAGATGAAAAAAAGCAGAAACAAAAGGCACACCTCTGCCTCAATTGCAGGCAGACATTGAGCGCAGAAGCTTGCGTTACTATGCTACGCCACTTTTCCTGAACAATCATGTACAAAAGTTGAAGCGACCCTCATTGTGAGATTAACAACCAAAGTAAGAGCAGAAAAAGCAAAAAAAAATAAACCCAAAACCTTCGTTAATATCTACAAAACTGAAACTCACATCATCTGGTCCAAGCGGAATGATTGTACACAACACAAAACGAATGGGTGGACATACTTCATGTAAAGATAGTAAGTCGCAACAATACCAGAAATCGAATAACTTGCGAGACTCTAGAGTATGAACAATAGTTCGGAAAAAAAGAGAAAAGTTGAAAGTGTGGTAAATACACCTTACCTGGGGTTCTTTTGTAGCCATTTCAGACATCTTCTGGATCACTTCAACAGGGTCACAGTGCAAATTAGCTTTTGCAACAGATTTCAGATACTGACTGCCGACTGGAAGATATGAGTCTCGCTTTACCCATCTAAAGCGCAAATGTGGCATATTAGAAATGTCATTCTCTTAGCAGGTCTACCTGAAGGCATCAATGCGTATGCAGTTTCTGCTTTTGTAATCATCAGCAGAGTCTCTTGCAAAACCAATCTCATCTTCTATGCCTATTCCAAAAATGCGAGCTCTTGCCTCAACAAAAGGCCTAAAATACCATATGTTCAGCCAAATTGCTAAGAAAATAGCGGATTCGCATCCCCACTTACCACTCAAAGAAGATGTTGTTGTAAATTACAATACTATTTGGCTTCACTTCAAGAACGTAATCGAAAAACCTACACAAACAAATAATACACATTTTGCTCGCGAAAATCCCTATAAATTGCCTTGTGATCGTTGCTTCCTCATCCGCTTCCGTGGAATACATCTTTGTATTCTTCGCTGGGAGTGTAGTCACGGCTGAATCAAGCTGATAATTTCTGCACATAGGGCTTGAGCAGAGTGAACTTACCCGTGATACTCGGTCTCCTGTCAGAACTGATTCCTTTCACTTTCCTTTCAATGAGAAGCATTTACCGACGAAATACTTCTCATCGATAGGAACTCGCATGTGGTAAGGCACATCATGTTCTGTAGAAACTTAGTGCACTAGGAGCATTCAAGTTACACAAGCTACGCATACCTCTCCACCATATGAAAGCTTAAAGTGATGAACCAACGCCACATCCTGTAGAAGACCTAATAATGAATAATAGGAATAGTATATAATGAAAGACCTACAGCTGTTCTTAACTCGTCGGAAGTCCACATGTTCTGCAAGCGAGAAACCGCCTCATCCCATGTGTCAGCTCAAGATTGAATTCATGCTGCTATGGATCGGCCAAACGCAAAGATACCAGCATGTGACATCACAGCTGGAGGAGAAAACGTCCAATGCGGTCAAACTTAAGAAGTTTTCTGCATACCTGCGCTTCTCGTGTTCAGCACTTTGAGACATCTTATATGCATCGAAAAAGTTTGCAGCACACTTGCTGCAAAACAAGAAATTCATAGCTGTAAAAAAAGGTTCTGAAGTAATAAGAGACTCAGAGGAGTGTGGAAAACGCGCAGCGTGAACATGGTTGATATGCTTCCGCAAAGTCTGCACAGACGCGAATGATGCACTGCAGTTGCGCGAGGACAGTGAACGAATACACATGCGGAACAGCAGCGAGTGCAGATTTGGTTTGGAAAACAAGTCAGTGTAAGAAATGACACTCCACTTGCAAAATTTGTGTGGAAGCGGCCCAGATTACCCGAAAACAAGGAGTAAATTAGAGCCGCATACACATGTCCATTCCAGCCTCCGTTTCGAGACTATGAAAGCCAAATTAGGCCACACCATGAAAAGCAAAGAGAAGGCGAAACTTCAATGCAGAAACTAAACAAGGAAATTCCGCGTCAACCCGAGACAAAATGCAAGTGATTGATTTTCAAGTCTTGACGTAAATTGATGGAAGCTGTGTACGTTTACGACCCATGCAAACTATGACGAGCGTGGCGTAGTCGAGCTCTAGTCTTGCACTATCACTGCGTCTCCGCGCTAAAGCACGCTATTTTCACTCCAGTTTGTTACGAGCTGTACAGCTCGTAACAAGGTCCTTCATTCTGACCCCAGCTTGGCACGAGCTTCTGTCCCGACACCCCTCCACTACACTCGGCGACTATGATAAGAGATAGCCGCCGAATCGATTCTTACTGCAGTGATTCGCGCTCGGCGCAAACTATGTTGCGATCCCTATATCGCAACATAGGGGGGTTTACTACGGGCCCAGGGAACAAATATAGCTATAAGAAAGAGGATGAAAATATGAGTCAGATGGTCCCTAAATCGTCCATGGATTGTTTTCTGTGAATTTGAGTGGGCGATGAAAAAAACCGACAAAACTTTCGGGACGACCTAATATATTCTGAATCAGCTAAAAACGGTGATTCCAAATATGCTAATTTTAGCTGCCACGCACCATTCCGAAGCGAGTTATGGGCTTTTTCCTGCGCAAAATTGGCATGGTCATCGACTCATGGGCATCACGTTATCATTTTAAGTGCTGATACACCTGCGTTAAGTTTTTTTTAGTAAGGAACGATTGGATTTATACCGTTTCGATACCTCAGCACCTTTTTCTTGCACATTTTTATCTACAGACAGTCTTCTCATCTTCAGTAGTATGCCAATCTTGCGTAGGAGAAAGCCCATAACTCGCTTCAGAATGATGCGCGGCAGCTAGGACTAGCATATTTGAAATCAGCATTTGAAGCTGATTCAGAATATTAAAGCCTTTTATCAGAAGGCCGAGCTAAGTTAGGTAGTTTTCCTTATCAGAACTCTCTCAGAAAAAAACTAGGTATACTTCTGAGGCAGCATGGAGGAGAATTCACAGGTCTACCTCTAGTCAACTGTTATCTGACCAACACCCGTAGCCTAATCAAAAAAAATCACATGCAAGTTTTTTTGAATCATCACAAGCCTGATCGCCTGATCTTCTAGTCATTACCGACTCGTGGCTAACGTCCAATATCCCTATGCAGAAATTATTGGATTTGCTACATTTCGTATTTAGAGTTAACAATAAAAGAGAAGGGTGGAGAGGTTTGTCTTTTGTTCAAATCTAGTAAAAAGCGGTAATTGCGCCCATATCTAAACAAACTTGCAACTTGTGGGCGATTTTCGACCAATCAGCTTGACGGTAAAAATAAGGGAGGAAATTACCAGAGATAAGATTTTTCGAAAGATGTACCAGCTAACCACTCTTGATTATTCAAAGAAGTTCTATTATTGCGACAGAAGATAGTCTGCGAAAAACAAACAATTCTCTTCCTGCGCCGTTGTCTGCGTTACCACGTGATCCCAAAGTTCATAACTAACAAGCATCTTGAAGAAACGTGTGGACTAACCAGGCAGGGCAACGACTACAAGAAATAGAGCGCAACGCTGAAGGGGACGTCAGGGTCAGAGACGATGTGCACTTTACGTTGTCGCGCCGGATGTTTCCAGTTTATATATAAGAAAGATATGTGGGGGTTTAGGGTTTTCTACGAATTATTCCCGGGGGGAGCCTTTTCATCACAAAGTCTCCCCCTCCTATACATTAAAGTGGGCTAGGGGGAGACTTTGGTATGAAAAGGCTCCCCCAGGGCATAATTCGTAGGAGGCCCTAAACCCCCACATATATTATATATATCGTTGAAAGCTTTTGATGAGTAGAATCTAACCTATAAAGTCGCAACTTGATTCATGCAGTTCTGAAGAAGTTATGAGCTGTTGATATTCAAAAAGCGCTTTTTTACTGCTTTTTCAAGACTCTGGATCTCGGAAGTGTTTCAATGGATCGGAACGGGTAAGATATATCCTGATAAGGTAATCCCTACTCTACAAAAATATGAAGTCGCAACATCACATATCTTCACATTCAGAATTTATATGAGTTTAACTGTCAGCGGTCACTGCACAAGCTAAAATGGCGTTATATCTTAAAATTCTGGTTTTCGGCAAGCATCTCGCGAATCGACTTGATTCTTTCATTATTTGATAAAGCACTATTTACTCTTCAAAGCTATGAAGTCGCAACTGCTGACATCTTCAAACAACGGATTTATAACAGTGGAAATTTTGCATGATTTTTCACTATTTAGTTATTCAAAATTCTGGTTCTCGGCCGTTACTGCCTGGATCGATCTACTTTCTTCGCTGTACGTTTAACAAAATTTGCTCAATAAAATCCGTAGGTTTCGCTAAGTTTTACTTCCAAATTCACCATTTACTGTACACGTTTATTTTAAATATATATGCCGCCGTATACATAAATATATGCTTTCAATAACATCTTTTTTGCGTTGGTTTTGCTCATTTTCCTTCTTTATCGTTTAGCGAAAGATTTTTTATTCCAAAAGTGAAGGTGGTCACCCTGTACCAGCTCAAAAGTGAAGGTAGGGGAGAATCGGCTCCCACTATCGCACCTCTGTGTACCATTACCGCATGCGTTTCAGCTTACCGCCATTTCCGCATAGCATAAACAGCATATTATGTGAGAAGCATAAGATCCCATGTGTTTTCTCCGACCGTGCCGTCGTAGCGCAAAGGCCGTCGTGAAGCTTGCGTCGCACTTCTCATAGGTGAAAACGTGCGTATCAGTGTGTGGCTTTTGTTTCCTCTCTGTTTTGAACTTTTCTACATCCTGCTTGGTGAACCCATGTTTTTGGAACAAATGCGTATACAGTTGCTTCCCTCTGTCGAAGCGACAGTGGCATCCAAGACATATGTTATCGCTGAACGAACATGAATCAAGTGGACGAGCTTAAGGGACCGGCCATACTATTCCAAGGAGGTGATTCCTGCGGTTCCTGTGATTCCTCGAATTCCGTGTCGCACTACGGAGCCTTTGCAAATTCCAGTATTCAATTTTTTTTCGCAAGATCACTGTTGTGAGACCCGCAGGAATCACAGGAATTGCAGGACTACAGGAATAGTATAACCGGTTCCTAACAAGGGAAGTCACTAAACTTAGGTCGGCCTTTTGAAATGAGACAAATATATTTAGAATCAGCTCAGAACGCTGATTTCAAATATGCTGTCCTTAGCTGCGAAGCATTCCTCTGAAGCGAGTTGTGAGCTTTTTAGTATGTGTAATTGGCATATAACTGCATATGGAAAGAAGGCCTTTAGATGAAAATCTGCCTAAAAAAGTGGTGGGAAATCGAAATAACATCAAACTGAGTCATTTGGCTTTGATAGGGTATTGTATGCACTTGAACTACTACCTAGATGACGATACCGTAGCATGCCCAAGTCGGTCAGCACGCAAACTTTGCTTAGGAAAAAGCTCATAACTCGCTTCAGAGGAACGCTTCGCAGCTAAGGACAGCATATTTGGAATCAGCGTTCCGAGCTGATTGTAAATATGTGTGTCTCATTTCAAAGGCCGACCTAGGTTAAGTGACTTCCCTTGTAAGATGAATAGTAGAATACGGGCCGCTACGGCAACTCTGTTGTGCAAACTAGTCACAGCTCGACTCAACTAAACCAAAACTTATACTTTCCAATCTCTGGTAATCTCCTTTCAAAAGAAAATTTGAGGCCGGCCTAGATTATGACTACTATCTATAACATGATGTAAGCGCACCTTTGGGTACTTCCGCTGCTGGATCCACACTCTTCCATGTTGAGTGCTTGCTGTGCGATCTGCAAAGTCCACTGCCAGTTCACTGTAAGATGAGCAAACCTGCAAACTACTACTCAACTGCGAAGTGCTCACAGCTCAAGTAAAAATCATAGCTTTTAATTTGCACTTTTGTGAGTCGTTAAAGCACAATAACATGAGGTTGAAAGGCTTACCTTCACAAGATTTGGCCCGAGTGGTTAGGAACGTGTAAAAGTGTGAGTATTTGATAATGTTTTCTTATGCCATACGAGGTTTGGTAAAGCTCTTTATTGCGGCCTTACGTTTCGACTTATCGTCGTCTTCAGAGGCCTAAAGTGGTGCGAGATTTTGATCTTGTGCTCTACCCCACCAAATGCCTTATCGACCTCAAGCTA